GAGGAGGAGGAGGAGGAGGAGGAGGAAGAGGAGTTACACTGAACCAAAACCTCCTAGTTCACCTACTTAGTCAACAACTTTTGTTAAATGCAAACTGTATCTATGGCGCTGCGCTTGGTCTGTTGGACCTGTACAAACGAACGCAGTAACATTTCCTTCAAAAAGCTAAGATGCAGAGGATTAAGGGATTAATTTGGATAAAGTAAGAAAAGAAACTAGTTGGCATGAGATTGTGAAGTGATGGTGGGGGAATTTAAGAACAAGCACCCATATGGCTTCAATCTTGTGAGTTCCTGTGAAGCAAATGATGTGCGAGGGAAAGGGGCTTCAGTTGTTGRAAAACATTAGAAAGTATCACTGTGGGGAATGCCAATGTGGAATTCCACATATTTCTTTCCCAATATCCCTAAATCAGGGTTGAGTGCTGAAGCCTGAAAGGGCCTGTCATCTTTGACATAAAATACAGACTGAGTTTTGAATCATGTCAAAGCATAATACTTTATAACTAAAAGCAATGACTGCTGCTCTCCTCCCCTGACCATGAGTTCTATCATAACCAGCTCTGATTTTCTAACCCCTTCTGTTAAAATGAAGACCTCCACTACAAGTAGAAAAAAACAACAAAAATAAAAGAAGTGGGAGAAGGAAAAGAAGATGAGCTGCATGTTTTATATACCTTGTTTTTTTCTAACACTCAAAATAAGTCTTTGATATAGATATTGTACAGATTGATTATCCCTTATCTAAAATGCTTGGTGACAGTCATGTTTTAGATTTCAGATTTTTCAGATTTTATAATATTTGCATATACATAATGAGATTAATTAGGGAATGAGACCCAAGACTAAACACTAAATCCATTTAGTTTTCATATACATCTTAAACACATAGCCTAACGTAACTTTGTGCAATGTTTTTAGTATGCCTGTGTTTTGACTGTGACTTGTCACATGAGGTCAGGGGTGGAATTTTCCACTTGTGGCATCATGACAAAGTCCACAATTTTTTTTTTTTTTTTTTTTTTTTTTTTTTTTTTTTTTTTTTTTTTTTTTTTTTTTTTTTTTTTTTTTTTTTTTTTTTTTTTTTTTTGTGGTGGTGCTGGGGATTGAACCCAGGGCCTTGTGCATGCAAAGCAAGCATTCTACCAACTGAGCTATGTCCCCAGCCCAATATTTTTGATTTTCACATTAGGAATACTCAACCTAAATTTTCTTTCACATAAAAACAAGACTCAAAGAGCGGTTACTCAGCTGCTATTTCTGACATGAAGTGGCCCCTCCTTCATTGTACCATTTTGCTCTCTGTAGAGCTTTCTTTCACTAACCCTGTACTATACCTTTTCAATCATTTTWTAGTTTTTATGGATCCAGCTTTTACTTTGAGTTGTCCATCACTGCTGTACCCCATGGGGAGAATTGAGCTTCTCTTTTGTAGGTTGGCCTTCTTTGGCCCTTGGGTACCTCTGAGGATAGTTTTTCCATCTGAAAGAAATGGTAGGAGGGGCTGAGGCTGTAGCTCAGTGGTAAAGTGCTTGCTTCGTATGTGTGAGGCACTGGGTTCAATCCTCAGCACCACATAAACATCTACAACTAAATAAATATTTGAAAAAAAATAATGATATAAAATTACCTTCCTCATAGGTTTATAAGACTTAAATTGTGAAGAATAGATATATAACAATGGAAATGACTGAAGCTTCTCCCTTTTTGTCAGTTCAGCAACTTCTGCTTCATTGGCATAGGGCATAAGTAGAAATGAGTTCAGAAGACAAATTCAACCTACTGAGGTGTTAGCTTATTGATGTATTACTTCTGCCCTTTGTAAAATGTGTCATTTTTTTCTTTCCTGAATGCTGGTATTCAGGGTCTGATTTCAGCTGAGATAGCAATAATCATATATCCTGAGATTGATACAAGCCTGAAAGTTATTGTTTAATTTGGCACATAGTAAATGGTGAGTCTTTGCAGGTGTAAGCACCAAATATGGCTAAAAATATATCAGAACACAATGTTACTGATTAATATGTCATTCTTTGCAATTTAAACTGTTGTGCCTTTTTTCTCTTCATTTTAT